TGGCGTACTCTCTTATTGACGAGCATAAGCTCCAGAAATGTGTTAGAGACTTCGTTGCGCCATTTGACCAATGGAATTAGAGTGCTCTTCACCATGTGTTGTTGTCGGGTATTCTTCTCTAGGTGGTGACATTGCAGATTCTTAATGAAGATAATCTTCTAGCCTCTGAGTTCAAGCGAGTTCTCAATTAGTTAAGCTTATGCTCTTTTAAAGAGTGATTATTGAAACTCAGAGGATAATAATTGAAAGGTCATTTAGCATTGGCTAGGAACCCAGCGTGTGTGTACTTTTCTTTGGCTAGCAGTGAAAGATAAGCTCTTAAAAAATTGGGAGAGGCACCAACGACATATGATGTCTAATGCAGGTTGTAATATGTGTGGCAATACTATTGAGGACGTTGATCATGTTCTTCGAAGATGTAGCAAAGCTAGGCTTTTTTGGTTGAAAATCATTCCTCAAGAAACTCAAATATCCTTTTTCAGAGATACTATGAATAATTGGTTTATGATGAATATTAAGAATAGTTAGTCTTGGTGCAAGAATTTCTAGAATTGGTGAGTGATTTTTAGTCTAACATGCTGGAAACTTTGGAATAACAAGAATAATTTTACTTTCTAGGGAATTGTTAGTAGTGTTGATGATCTAGTTAAGAAAATTCCTTATGACTGATTATATTCTTATGGTTAACACTATGAATAAGCTTGTTTTTCCAGGTATAGCTCGAAGATTTGAAGAGCTTATTAGATGGCAGAAATTCCCCTGAGGTTAGGTCAAAGTGAACACTGATGGAGCTCATTGTGCTAATATTAATCTTTCCTACTGTGATGGCGTTATCATAGACAAGAATGAAGTGTGCTTGAAAAATTTTAGCAGAAAAATTGATAGTTGTTCAGTGCTACAGGTCGAGCTTTGGGGGGCCTTAATGGTTTTCAGCTTGCATGGAATGCTGGATACCACATCATTATTCTTGAGATGGATAGTTATCTGGCTATGCAATTTCTTACAAAAGATGATTATTGCATTAATGCTTATGCTGCTCTCATCCGTGCTATCAAGCAATTGTTATCGAAGGATTGATGTATCAAAAGTTCAATTTTGGCTTCTCGTTGCAGCTTGGTCTTCATCAACATGCTCATGTGCCAGGTGATCTCCAGCAACTTATTACGAAAGTTGTCATGAGAGTTTCTTAATTCAGGATGTGTATAAAGAACTCTTAGTTTTCTAAACTTCTGTCTCTCTTTGTAGTAAAAAAAAAAGTAAATAGAAATTCAGATTGTTATGTGTAGAATTATTGGATTTGTAAATACATTTAATATTTTTGTTATTTAAAAATTTTGTTATATGAAATCTGATTTAGGATCAACCAAACCTAAACTTGAAGAATCATTATATACAGTTGGATTTGAGATCCGTATAAATAGATGATGGATGATCTCATAGAAAAGGAGAACAAACTTTGAATTTAACATTCATCTGAGTTAGTTAATTATTTAGTAAGAACCAAATGTCATTTATTTTCAAAAAGAAAAAGAAAAGAACCAAATGTCATTGGATTAAAAAGGACCAATGTTCTTTAAAGTTAATAATTTGAGGTTTAAAATTTAATTAAAATAAAATATGATTTTATTAGTCAATAATAGTTTGTTGGCCAACAAAAAAGTGTCACCAATTGGGATTGATTTTTAATCTTTTTTTGTTTTGCTTATAAAAATTACTTTACTACTCAAATTTTTTTTTATATTGATTCCAAATATATTTTTAAAGATTTAAAACTAGTCCAAATTAGTCCTTTAAAATTGTTAATATTAATATAATCTTTACATAGTAAATGATATATTCACATAAACATTATTTCTAAAAACTTATTAACTTAGAAGACACTATCAATTTGAAATGGTGATATAGGGATGTCTACCTTAAAAATTCTTGAAAATTTATCTATACTGGCTCCCATATTAATTTTTTGTTTAAATATAATTTATATTTTCAAATTTTATCTAAATTAACTTTTACGTATTTAATATCATTTAATGAATGCTTACGTGAGTATTATATTTTTAATAAACAATGTAAAAAAGAACAATGTTATTAATATAACAACTACATAGCTATCATATTCACAATATTTTTAAAAAGTGATACGTGCTAATCACGTGACAGACATGTTTTTATTTTTTAAAAATATGATATTTATGTATTCATATAAATTCATTAAATAATATTAAAATATATAATTAATATCAGAGACTAATTTAAATAAAATAAGAAAATATGAAACTACGTTAGCTTCAAGAACTAATATAGAATTTTCGAGAGTACACATCTCTATTAAAATCTATACTTGTAGTTCAAATCTTGTACGTTAGGTAGGTATACAGTATATAATTTAATACATTAATAATCTCATCTTCTTTTGTCTTTTCCACTTATTTAGAGAAAGAAAATGAATGTTTGTTTATTGCAAAAAAAAAAAAAAAAGCTTTGAATTCATGTTTTTTTTTCACTGAAAGTAATGTTTTATTTACTGAGAAAATGATGTCAACTTTATTCAAACGCAAAAGAGAACTTACAACAGTTATTGGGTGCTTCAACAAAGTATATATATATATATATATATATATTAAGGATATATAATGTCATAATTCGTGCCATAATAAAACTTTCGCTGAAAGACTGAAAAGGAAAAAAGAAATTTGGAAACCCTTTACGGAACTCGTTTAAAATATATTTTTTAAATAAATAAAGAAAAAATTTTAGATCTCAATAAAAGTATATATAATTAAATATGTTAAAAATCATCACATAATTATTATAATATTAATATGCATATATAACCATATATATATATATATGCATGGTATGAAATTAATTTTTTTTAAATAATAATATATCACAGTTATATCAGTTAAAAATAATTTTGTTTAGAATATTTAACAAGATTTGATAATAGAGAATTTCATTCATTGTTGAAAATTTTTGATGTTATAGGACAGCTACTATAACAAAAATATATAATTAGATATGAATTATAATCAACATGCATGAAATATTTATTGACAGAAATAAAAATCAGAAATGATTAACTTTGTGGTTTTGTCTGCCTTGCTTGAGGCACAAGAGAGAGAAAGTTGTGATTAAAACATGGGTGATTTTGGTAATCTATAAAATTGATTTACTAACGGTCATGTTTTTGTAATCTTTGCTTAAATCATGAATAAGACAAATATATATATATATATATATATATATATATTTCCCAATATACAAATTATTAGAGTGATAAGAGGGGATATAAAGAATAGGAAGAAACACTTACAACTAAAGGATGACACACCATAAACTGATTTCCACCTTGCTTAAATTACATTTTTGTAATGTTTGCTAAAAAAATCATGAACAAGACATATATATATATATATATCTCTCTCTATATTATCCAATATACAAAATGTTAAAGAGTGATAAGAGGATATAGGAAATTGCTTGAAACACTTGCAACTAAAGGATGACACACCAGAAACTGATTTCCATCTTGCTAAAATAATATTTTTGTAATGTTTGTTTAAATCATGAATAAGACGAACATATATATATATAGACATTATCTAATATACAAAATCCTACAGACATAGAGGATATAAAGAATTGCTAGAAACACTTATACCTAAAGGATGACACACCAAAAATTGATTTCCACCTTTCTTAAATCATGTTTTTGTAATGTTTTGTTTAAGTCGTGAATAAGACAAATATATAGACATTACCTAATATTGTCTATCCAATATACAAAAAATGTTAAAAGAGTGATGGATGGCAAAAGAGGGAGAGGATACAGAGACACCAGAAACTGATAATGCATCAACCTTGTACCTTGCAACTCCTATATGCTGTTTCCATTCAGTCTTCTATAACCAACTATGCCATTCACTCAAAACCCAACACCATCATGCTTTTACTACATTCAAAACTCAAACTTGTTATGCAACCTTGAACTCATTTGGATTGAACTTTTATATATTATCATACAAATGGCTTCACCAATTTCTTGTGAGTGTCAAACCAAGAGTGAACCGCAAACAGTAATACTTGTTGTGATAGTGAAAAATGGTCTGACCATGAAAATGGAGATTCCCAACTGCAACTAAAGCAAGGAACAATTATTCCACTCTATTGGTGCATGATAGAATTGTAGACTTCATCTCTTCTTTGTCCAATGAAGCTTCAACTATCACCTATATGGAATAACCAATGATATGTTGAGAATATCTCATTCAATGCACTAAAAGAAAATGTAGCATCAAATTGTGGTCTCATTGAGATGGAAAAGAGGAAAAAAGATGCCTCCTACACCCAAGCAAGCCATTGTTATGACCAAAAAGCCCAGCATTTCAGCCATAATAGATATACTCACGCAATAAATAGAGCTCCGAAAAAAGTTCAACACCAGGATGAAGCCCGCCCTTAACTTTCATCGTAGTAGAATCAGATGCTAAAAGATTCTCTTTATTCTTATTTAAACTAATTTTTGCTCATGCTTTCTTTCATTGAAAAAAAAAATAAATGGCAAATGCAATCCTACATCTCATAAGAAGAAAGGGGTAGCGGAGGTGGGTGCAACGAGAGGAAGAGACAAGCGGTTTTCTCCTCAACGTGAAGTCTGTTCTTGTTTAGGTTTCCAATTTATGCTTAATTAGGAAAAAATCTCAATTTTTCAGAATTTTGTGCAAGAAGTTGGTAAGAAATTTAAATGGATTTTTATCAATTTTAAGAATTAATTCAAGATTTTACAGGTGGTTAATTGGCAAAAAGTGCAAAAAGAATTATTCATAAATTCCTGGAGGATTCAAAATTATTTCTCAAATTGTTGGACACTAGGCTATCTCAACTAGCATATCGCCATTGCCTGGGCTGATATTTATATAGGGCAAATGAGAGTTAATTTACTCATTAGAAATTAGGAGATAGAGATCTAAACATATACACCTACTGTTTTCTAGATATTCCATCTAAAAACTCTTAAGCATCAGGTCTAAGGTTGATTGTATTATGCAATCAAAAATTGCAAAATTCTCACAATATATTTTATTGAATAAATGGAATTTGCCTCAAAGATGAAGGTACGAAGATACTGATAACGCTATCTAATTATTCATTCTTAAGTTGAATTAAATTAAGAAATACAAATACAAATTAGATTAGAAAATAATACTATCAACACAGGCACTAAGTACTAAAAAGAACAAGAACTATAAGTTTTGACTATAGATGATAATAACGAAGCGATGATAAAAGATGCAAAGATAGTAAGATTTACTTTGAATTTAAATTCTGATACTAAATGATATGGAACCAAAGATCAACAATGTAATCCAGAACTCATCCAATCTCAATTAGCACCAAGACTTAATAGCTAAATAGACCCTCTCTAGTTAATCCGCTATCAATGAATAATAGAAATTAAAGTAATTAAGAAAAACTAAAGAATTGGAAAGACACTACAAGATTATTTTAATAAGTTGACCCAATTTCTCCCTCAACGAGAAGGATGAATAACACTTTACTTGTTGAAAACTAAAAGAACTTTGTATTTTATTACTTTAAACTTGAGTGATTACAACCATAAATTGAAAACCTATTTATACTTGTATACCATGTAATACAAGAAAAGAAATCTCCTAAATTAATTGTAAAACTTATATAGAAAACTAAATCTATACTTAAATGAGAAAACAATAAAAATTAAGAGAATTACAACCAAATAAGATAGATATGATCTCCCTTTATGGAAACTTCTAAAATGGTGAAGATCTTCATTAATTATATAGATATTTGAATGATAAAATAGGAAAAATTAGGATTGGCTTGGGGAGGGAATTAATTGCCGCCCACTTAGTCCAGATCCCATGAGATTTATCTTCTCTTTAATGCATGGGATTTGGTTTCCTTCTTCTTTGGTTGTTGAGGTATGTTATAGGAGGAAATTAAAGTGGTGGCCAATTCTTTCCTTAAATGGATGGATTGGTTGTAGACTTAGGAAGATGTGGGGGAAAAGAGGAAAATTCTCATTTGGGATGGAGTGCTTCTTTGGTTGGAAAGACTCCTCCACATGGGAAGATTTCTTTCCTTTTTTGTCATGTTTTCCTCTTTCATTTGGATAAGGATGCATGTACCACTATACCCCTGACCGGGGATCGCCTCCTTCCTCCTATGGGCTTACTTGATCCAAGCCCTTCTTCCTCACTTATCCATCATTGAATAAAAAGTTGAAAGGCTTGTTGGAGTCTTTTAGCTCTTCCTCGTGTAATGGGCCCACTTTGCATCATAATATTCTTCCCAAGTAATCCAAATCCATCCAAATTATTTGGATCTTGTCTTGTACTTCCTTGGTCGCATGTCTCCGCTCTTGAGTGGGCCTTGCCGCATGCTTTCTTCTCTTGGCCGCCCAAAAAGTCTTTCCGTCATTGATTTGAATTGTGTTTGGGATGACTTATGTTGTCCATGCACATTAATAACAAAATGATTCCACATTTAATATAATTACAATTTCTAATATATTTAGACAATTTAAACTTAATTATTCTGTGTAAAAGAGATGGTAAATTAGATTAAAAGGTATGAAGATAAATTACACCATTTTTAATTAATTATAATTAATTATCTATTTCTTTTCCATTTTAGAAAACTTATACATATAAAGTTGTATTATTCAAAAGAATATACATCAAAATAATCTTAACATAGTATCATAATTTTAGGTTAAAAAATCATAAAGTTCTTATAAAAATCCTATCCGGTCTTCATTGTTGAAATAAGAAAACCTTAAAAAGGTCAACTTTCTTACCAGCCACCATAACCTTAGCTGATGGCCACCAAAAGTCAGCCACCCCCATCACAAGCTGACAATGGAGCCAGTCATCTCCACCAAGCCCAGCCTTTGTTGCCAAGTCCAATTTGTGCAGCCAAGCCGCGCTAACCTTAGACATGATCACACGTTCGCATACTCTATCCTCACGCATGACCCTAGTCGCCACCATTTAAGCATCGCTCAGCCCTTGTTGCCTTAACTCACAACCAGACGTGATGGACTCTTTTATCATGACCAGACGAGCCGTTTGTTCAGACGTGCCAACCAAATGCGACATTGCTTGTCGAGATGCGACTTCTCTATCGCGTTGTTGCTCTGTGTCGTAACCAAACGCGAGCACTAGACACGACTTCCTCTATTCTCTCTTGGTTGTGCAGAAGTAAAACCCTTGCCACACAATTCTCTCCTTTGCGCACTTCAAATCGCTAGCACCGCTATCTGCTCTGATGTATCCAACAACAATGCGTCACTCTCTGTCCAACGCCGTGTCCGCTCTTTATCCAACAGCAAAATCACAGCCTCATGCACCACTTTTGGTCAGTCCTGACAACCTCTAAACAGTTGCATACCATCGATCGCGCTCTGTAGTGACAGAACTGATCCATGAAAATTTCAGTGGTTACCAAGTGTTGCTAGAATTCACAAATTCCAGAGGTTAAATCTCAATCCATAGGCTCACGTTCCCATATTGGGAATACCACCGACAAATTTCAGTCAATCCAGACAACCAATTGCTTTATAGACAAAGATAATTTAAGCTGGTCCCAATTAATCTGTACTACTCTTAAAGGTAAAAGCAAAGTTGGTCATCTTTTTGTAACCAGACCAAAACCTAGAAACTCCACATATGATACATGGGACAAAGAGGACTTTATGATCACAGCATAGCTGTGGAACTCTATGGCTTCAGAAATAATCAAAATTATGATGTTTTTGCCTACGATAAAAGCAGGATGGGATATAATTGGCGAAACCAATTTTAATATCAAGGATGCTGCACAAATTTATGACTTGACAGAAGACATTAGCAGCAAACCACCTCTCCTAGAGATAGTTTAGAAGTAAAGAAAATCTAATTGAGAGACAGAAGAACAAATACAAACCAAAGAAAATTAGAGATCAAGGTGCATAGTAAAGTAGTTGATTGAAGCATAGTAAACAATGATAGGAAAAAAAATTAACAGAAAATTTATTCCAAATTAGGATCTTGTTCTGCATTAGTGGAGTTGGAGTAAGTACTTTTGAGAGGATTGTGTCACAATTATGATGAACACTATCTCATAGGAAGCTAGCTAGTGCCAGAACTACTTTCTTTTAGAGCTTGTGAAAAGAACAAGTTAGAGCGACAAGAGCACCAAAACATCAATGATCCTTACCACCTTTTGGTCTTGCAACTAATCCCCAATTGAAAGAAGAAGTGACGTTATGCTTCTATACAAAGATGAGACTTATGGGGTTTGATAAGTATGTTGATATAGATTTGGAGAATTATTCACTTTATTTCACATACACTGTGATATACAACTGAAATATTTATACAGAATTCTATATACGAATAGAAAATTATATTATGTAAAATATTTAATTGATTCTACTAATTAATTACAAGACTACGGGAATTATTAAAAGTGAAAAAAATATCTCGACTAGCGCGGCAACGGAATATTCTACTATATACTCCCTCTCAAATTGGTACAAAGATATACAAGAGAAATTTTCATCTTGTGTTCTTTCATCTTCAAATACAGGAGAAATTTTCATGTACATGTCTTCCTCTAAGTCTTTATGAAGGAAGACATTTTTCATATCAAACCGTTATAAATCCCAATCAAAATTGGTTGTACAAGATAGTGTAGAAAATAAAAGAATCAGTTCAGTTTTATTTTTTGTTGTTCTTAGCCTAGGGGAGGTAACCACAAAGTTGGTGAGGTATAACAGATTTTGTTATTCCTCATTCTCTTAAAAAGTTGTTAAAATTTTGTTAGGTTTTGTTAGAATTTGATTGTATGTTTCCTATAAATTGATACCTTATGGTGATGAAAAAATAATAAGCAGAGGTAGAATTTTCATTCTCTAAATCTTCAGATAGTAATATCCTGATTGTATTCATCTTCACAACAGATGCAAATGTCTCCTAATAGTTTACTTCATAGGTTTGAGTAAACCCTTTAGTCACCAATTTAGATTTGTATCTTTCAAGCAACCTGTCTGTTTTGTATTTCACAGTAAAAACCTATTTGCAACCAACCATCTTTTTTTCCAATAGAAGTGAAACAATCTCCCAGATTTCATTCTTTGACAAAATTTTCATTTCTTCGATCATGATTATAAAGAAAAACATATCTCGACTAATAAAGCAACATAATATTATAGTCAACAGTTGATAAACATGTAAAGTTTTTGTAGACAAACTAACAGGTTATACACTTTGGTCCTCTTTAATAATTAATTTTTTATTTCAAAAGAATATTGGGAATTGAGAAGTAGAAAGAGACAATTAGGGATGATCCCACAAGAGAAAGAAGAAAGTAGCTTTTTGCCTTGGCGTGAAGCCTGTTTTGATTTAGGTTTCTAGTTTAAGCTAATTAGGAGAAAGATGTTAATTGGGTTACAATTTTGTAGAGGATGTCAGTTACGATACGACACTTGAGAATTTGATACCCTAAATTAAGAGAGGTCATAAAGGAAGTAAATTAAAGAAGCTAGCTATGTGTTTGCTTCAAGACCTAAACTGGAGTTGATGCATAACCTGATAGAAAACATGGAACCTATTCAAGTACGTAACATATTAGTAATCCTATTCCAAGGGACACAAGCTCATATGAACGGTTTTTTCTTTCCAATCCAATAACAGGGACAATAAAATTTCTTTTTCTAATAAAAGAAAAAGGATCTGGAAAAATTCTAAAAAGTTTTTACCTCCTGGACTTTGTTTCCAGCACGTGCAAGCAACTTGTATTGGTTCTCAAATATGGAAGCCATATAAACCTGCATCAGAATTATGAACAGATGATATTCAAGGCTCGACTTTTCATTTTTATTCACTACATTCATGGACGAGCTTAAGTTTTTTTTTTTTTTTGACAGTCCAAGATAAAAAAATTTATCAATTCATAAAATTTACAATACGTAATTTTTAACTTCAGAAAGAATAAAACTTCATGTTAAGCAATAAATGTAACTTTGAGAAAAATAAAAACTTACAAACTTCAAACTGAAATAATAAAACCATTCCTTTTTCTCATAGAAAATAGGAACCAGGAATGATACAAGATGAAGATAAAGCTTAGAGTTAATACTTTTGCTTTTGTAAGTTCTCTCAACTTTAGATCCAATTAAAGGATTTTAGTGAAAATTAATTCCCACCATATACCAATATTATTTTGAGAGCAATAAAATCAACTACACTACGTATAATTAAAAGCCACCTGCACTAAAACCTCATACCTGAAAAGTTGGAGCCAGGCCTGGGCTCAAAAAGAACCGGCCTTTTGAAACAGACTTGATCCCTTCAATCTGCTTCAACTCTTTGATTAGTGATTCTACATCAGCCCACTGCCAAACTTTGACATCAGATCATGAGAATTGACCATGTGATACCATATAGAATCAAACTGAACAGCAATTTAATGTGATTGACTGAGGTTACTGCAGGCATATGCATACAGTACAGAAAGAGAGAACAAAGATCAGAAGAGAGAAAAAACTAGTAAGTTCTGTTTTGCTATAAGGAGAATCCAAGTCACTAATGATCCATAATATATTCTTATATATCTTGGCTGAAAGACATGGAAAAAAGGATAAAACATACATCTCAGACCACAACCTGTGTCCAAAATGATGGAAATAAAAAAAGCAGGTACCACATAAGATTATTAGAACACAAGAACTGTTGGTTTTGGCAGAGGTGCGCGTTTGGCGCACAGGTAGGACAGAAGAGAACAGGACATTGATGGATAGAACTAAATAAAGTGTTTGGTACATATACATATGGACGAAACAAATATGTTAAATTATTTAAATGCCCTGATGATATTTAATATTAAAGTTTTTCTTTTTGGTACTTTTTATGGTCAGTTTGTACAAAATTATATCATGTTAAATTATAAAATTAATTATTTTCAACAGTTAAGGGAGCTATCAAATAGGAAGACCCCTGAAATACAAAACTTGTGAACCTGTTGGAACAGATTCACCTTTCTTCTCAGCCTGACACCAAAGTTAATCTTTGGATCCATCAAAGTTACACACTTGTAAGCCTTTCTTTGGTTACCTCATTAAACACCACAACTGTTAGCTTTGGCCAACTTTACATTGCCAAAGTGTTTGGAAAATTGCCAGTTCCATTAAAAGTAAAGGTGTTTAAATGAACAGCCATGCATCAAATACTCAACAGCAACAAGACGCTATAAGCCCGTCGTCCTCACCGCATGCTATCTCTGGGCATCTGCATTTTGTGATTTAAAGAAGGAGAAACACAATTCTATTTATTTCTCCACTACAAGATGACTTGGAAGATTTGAACAAAAATATTTAGTCTCTTCGGCATTAACTGGGTTACTCCTCTTACAGTCGGGAGATTTTTGGATGTGTACATTAAGGGGAATGGGTTGAGAAAGGAAGCAAAGCTATTGTGGCAAGGGGCAGCGTTCTCAAATCTAAGGACCTCATGGCGTCACGAAACTCGCTGTCAGCTATGCGCGATAATGATTTTTTTTAAGCAACATTATAGGTCATGGCAGATAGGAACTTCTCCGATATAGCTATTTCCGATCTTCATCAGAAGAGGTGATGTGATCCTAGACAGCATGGAATATTCCCGGGACCATTCCATCTATCCAAGTCATGGCATGGGCTATCCAAGTGAGCAAGCAAGCAGCCAAAAATTCCCCAAGGACCAAGCAAGCGGCCCAGGCCATACAACGCAGATTCTTACGGTTTGGGGTCTAAACCGCCCACACATAAAGTCCACAGATAAAGAAGGCTTACATATGAAGGATGATGGACTTGGACCACTTAAGAAAGAGTATAACTGATATGAGTAAGGAAAGGGAAAAGAATTTCTTCTTATAGGGAGAATCAGCCAAAGGGTGAAATTCCTTTCTAAACCGCATAAGAAATCAAGAGAAAGAGGAAAAAAAATCCCATGCTTTAATGGGAGATTGAATCTCATGGATTTTGGGAGATTATAAAAGCAATTAATCATTTCTCAAACTGATCATAATCTTCATTAATCCTTCCCTCAATCATCTCTATAATTAATTAAGATTTTCTCTATTTAAAAAAAGAGATTATATCTATCCTATTTGGAAAGCAATCATTTCAATTATTATAAGTTTCCTATTCTATTTTATATTTATTTTCCGATGTAATTTTGCTATTAATTTAGGAGATCGTTTTCCTTATTATTCACATGGCCTACATTATGAATAAACTATCAATTTATAGTTATAATAATTCAAGTTTGAGAATAACAAAATTATAAAATTTTATTTTTCAATTAGTGAACTTTTCATCAACCTTCTTATTGAATGAGAATTGATTCAACTTATCAAAATAAGTTCTTGTGGCATTTTATTAATCTCTCTAAATTGATTTTACTTATCAAGATTCCATCTTATGGCGTTTAATCAATTCAAATCATCATTCCAATTATCTTGATTTTCACCTCTTTGTTGAATGTGGGTCACGTAAGGAGGGTTTACTTAGGATTTTAAGTTTCTGATTCTGATGTATATGCGGAATTTTGGATTGTATTGTTGATCCCAGGTTTTACATCATTTGGTATCATAGCTTAAACTCAAGATAAATCTTACTATCTTACATCTTTAATGCTTATATATTTTTTATTGTCCATATTTAGAAAAAAAAAAAATACCTTGCATAATTTCTTAAGCATTAAAAAAAACAAAAAAAATCATATATGTATGATCTTTCTCGCACTTTAAGCTTTTTTTTTTCCTTTCATTGTGCTTTTATTCCATTACATCTCTAATTAGCTAATTGTACTCTAGTTACTTGACATCATACATAAAACACACACAATCTTCATCCATATGTTTGAATTGTTATTTTAAAGATTTTTTTACTATTTTTTTTCCCTAAGATTTCTTGAAGTGTCATAAAAAAAACTTGATTATTTTGATTTAAGCAAATTCAATTATGACATTCAACTTGAAAGAATGAGATTGAGCAAAACACAAAAAGTGAAACACGTAGATTTTGGAGAAAAATATTAATTTTATTTTTCAACCTTTAACTTGTTACACTTAAGGTATTTATAGAGTTCCTATTCTACTGATAGAAAAATTCTTACTCTACTAAACTTATAATTATATAAAATTAGTATTCTCATACAGTTTTAATTACATAATACCAAATAATAAACTAAAATAATCAAATAATAAAATATGCAACTCAATGCTCCCCCTCAAGTTGGTACAGGGATATCATATATGCCTAACTTGCTGACCAAATTTTGAAAAACCATGTTATAATTTACCAGTGGCAAAGGATGCCCAAAAAGTGCTGCAAACTGGAAGCAAATATGTCAGGTAGCAACTTAGTTCGGCTTGCCGCAAAATAGCTCAGCGTAGCTCAAAACTGTTCGTTCTGGCTCAAAACGATTGGAGCTCGACTCTCAAACAACTCGGGCTTGGTTCTAAAACGGCTCGGCCTCCACCGAAGTATCTCACAAGCTCTCACGTGCTGCCACGCCCTGTAATCAGACCACCACGTGCCGTTGCGGCAACAACCATGAGCCATCGCCGGAAACTACCATGCGCTGTTGCCAGAACAACCACGTGTCGTCGAAAGCTCGCTAGGACTCAGCACAAAAACTCTTGACTCGTTAGATCCGGCACAGATCTAGTGAGGATGCACCAATAACCCCTCCAAAAAGGCCTCAGATTGGGTTTCACGCAATCAGGCCACTGCCGTGCTGGTTCATCTTCTCTGGCTCGCGTTCTCTCCCTTCAGCTCTGGTTTTGCGCACAGACAAAGACGGACTTTGCAGATCTGTCTTTTGATTTCTCTTCTCCTGTTGTCTCTTGGCGCAAATCAAGATGTCTTCTGCGCGCAAAGCCGAAAACAATTTGTCTCCTCTACTTCTGGCCGTGCCAATCTTGTTCCGGACATCGCTAGTCTCCACTCGGTCTTCTGCCCGCCGCACAACCTTCTAGTGTCACTGTCAAACACGGGTTTGATTGTGTTCTCCGAGCAGCAAGCTAACAGATCCAACTTCCCTCCTTCCACCACAACTGCTCCTCCTTGAATTGCCGCCACCACTGCCAATGTTTTCAGACGTTGGTTGAGATGGAAGGAAAAACACCATATCTATTTTTCTTTGGCCCCCTCTCTCTCTCTCTCAAATTTGGCTTATAAGATGTGTATAGATCTGGATAAGTGAGTACCAATCCAACCTATTGTACTATTTTAAGATTTAGAAAAAACTTTAAAATAGCTTTATTTGGCTCTAATATCAAATAAATTTTGGAGAAATAAAATTATTATTTTTTCTTTAAAAATCAATAGTTATTTTCCTTACTAACTATTCCTAACAGATTTTCAATGACCTTATACAACGTCACGTCCGATGACATTTTCTTAAAAAAAAAACAGAATTGATTATCTTGACTCCTATAATTCTTTGAAATATCATAAATAAAAATTAATTATCTTGATTCAAGCAAATTCAATTCTGACATTCAACTTGAAAGGATGTTGAGTAAAACACAAAACGTAAAACATGTGAGCACTATTTTCCTTACTAACCATTCCTAACAGATTTTCAATGATCTTATCTAATGTCACATTTGATGACATTTTCTCAACAAAAACAGAATTGGTAAAATCCTGACATAAGAAGTGTCCGATTTGAGGACAAATAGTTTTTGAAAAAAGAGGGGATAATATGAGCAAAGAAAGGGAAAATAATTTCTTCTTAATGGGAGAATCAATTAAGGGGTGGATTTTCGTCCTAAACCGCATAGGAAATCAAGAAAAAGAGGAAAACAAATCTCATGCCTTAATGGGAGATTGAATCTCATGGATTTTGGGAGATTATGGGAGCAATTAATCTTTTCCCAAACTGATCATAATCTTCTTTACTCCTTCCTTCAATCATGTCTATAATTAATTAATATTTTCTTTATTTAAAAAAGGAGATTATATCAATCCTATTTAAAAAGCAATCCTTTTAGTTGTTGCAACTTTCTTATTTTATTTTAGATTCATTTTCCTATATAATTTTACCATTAATTTAGGATATCATTTTCCTTATTATTCACATGGCCTGCACTATGAATAGACCGTCATTTCATACTTATAATAATTCAAGTTTGAGAATAACAAAATTATAAAGTTTTAGTTTTCAACTAATAAGATTTTCGTCAACTTTCTTATTGAGTGGAAATTGATTCAACTTATCAATGTAAGTTCTTGTGGTGTTTCATCAATCTCTCTTGAATTAATTTGACGTTCTATCTTGTGGCGTTCAATCAATTCAAATCATCATCTCAATTATCTTGGTGTTCATTCTCTTGTTGAATACAGAT